GTCCAGTTCTGGGCTCCCCAGTCCAAGAGAGACATGGCACTCCTGGAGAGAGTCCAGTGGAGGGCTACCAAGATGATTAGAGGGCTGGAGCACTTCTCCTATGAAGAAAGATTGCAAGAGCTGGGCCTGTTCAGCCTGGAGAAGAGAAGATTGAGAGGGGATCTCATCAACGTGTACAAGTATCTGAAGGGGGAGTGTCAAGAGGATGAGGCCAGCCTCTTCTCCGTGGTGCCCAGCAACAGGACAAGAGGCAATGGGCACAAACTGAACCACAGGAAGTTCCATCTGAACCTGAGAAAACACTTCTTCACTGTGAGGGTGACAGAGCATTGGAACAGGTTGCCCAGAGAGGTGGTGGAGTCTCCTTCCCCGGAGATATTCAAAACCCGTCTGGATGTGATCCTGGGCAATGTGCTCTAGAGGTCCCTGCTTGAGCAGGGAGGTTGGACTAGATCATCTCCAGAGGTCTCTTCCAACCTAAACGGTTCTGTGATTCTGTGAAAATTCAGTGAGAATTTTTCCTTGGGCACTGTGTATCTCTCACCTGCTTTAATGCTCCTCACTACCACCGAGAAGTCAAAACAGCAGCTGTGCTTGTTCCTGTCTCTCAAGGACTAACAGTGTTATTTCACTGCTCAGCTTACAAGAACTGAGCAAACAGTCTTCTTTCACGTCCCTGAGCTTTTTCATATGCATTCATTTTTTCATTAGTAAAACACTTGAGTAATGTGTCAGCACTTTAATTAACGGCTGCGTTAGTGAATGCTCTTGCTGTACATGTACCAGCATTCTCTGACACTATCATTTCCTTTGGAAGTGTATTACACCCTTCACTATAGTAAGATATTTTTCATCTCTTGTCACAGTTTACTTTGACACTTTCAAGCTCATCTGTTTTTATGGAAAGGCTCTGCTTGACCCAGTGAATAGATTTGTCACTTGGAGTGGATCCTGACTTTTGCGAATGCTATCAAAAAATCAACATTAAGTAATTTTAACTGCCTCTTATAATGCACGCTTTTATCTAGGTCTGTTTAGATATTTAATGCTAACTATATATTTGGTTAGTACTATTAGACAGTCATTTAGGATTACTGCTTAACAGAAGTGGAAAGAAACGTACAGAAAGCCCAGACAGATCTGTTTTTAGTCAGAACAAGGCACAATAAACATTAAAAGCATAAGCAGCCTCACATGACTGCATGTAAAAATGGTATGTTAGCATGAAGTGTGAGGAGAGTTAGGAGGGACTGGTAATCTTTGACTCAAGCAGTCACTTTTTTTTTTAATTTTTCTTTACAGACATTCAGTGTGAAACATGACTGTGAATGTGATGCTGGAGTTATTAGCCTGGCAAAATGAAGAATAAAGATCTTAATTTCTGCTCCAACATGCCATTGTAATATTCAAGCCAACAAACATATGACAAAAGATTTAGGAATTGTATAATATGCAAAAAACAAAACAAAGCTGCTATCCAGTTGGAGATACAGGAAGGAGATGCAAATTATTAATTTCATATGCTTAATTATTGCAAAACAGTTATTCAAACAGTTTTGACAGAAGAAAACATGCAATTATGCTTTGTTGGCTCTTGCACATTATCTTGTTTGTTAATAAATAACATTCCCATAAAAATGCAAATGTAAAAGATATTTATTGAGAAATAAAAATGCATTTCCTAACCATATATTGAATCCAGAAAGCTAATTTGAAAACGTTAATTGTTGTATGATTATCTGTCAGTCCTGACAGAAACTCTATGTTAGAAAAGGCTGGCATTTTAGCTTGTTTAAAGTTGTTCCAGTGTTAGCAGGTAAGCTTTTTGGCGTGCTGTAACGGTAATGAAAGTTGCTGTTTAGCTCCTAGATAGTTCTGCTTCTGGAGCAGAAGGAGTATGTCTATTTTAGCCTAAAAAAGTCAGCCTTGCATTTTTCACTTCCTATTTCTGCCAGCCTCTGGGGAGGGCAGCCAACCTCCCCTGTGCTAATACTGAACGTTTTAGAAAAGGAAAGTCAATATTTCTCCCTTTCTGTTTCTGCACAAGGAACGGTAACGGCGCTGAGGACATCCCCCAAGGTAAGTTCAACTTAGCAAGGTAAGGTCTTCAACTACAGACTGTTGGTCGGGGTGTTATATTTAGTGAATGATAGATATCAGTGCCCAAAGCATTTGAGCATTTTGGAGAAGGCAAGTCCCTCCTAAATTGAGTAGCTAAAATGCCTCCCACACCCTAAGGGACTGTGCTATGATGGAAAAGTGTTTCAGGACACCTACTCTGTGTAGGTGTTTGAGGCGACCAGGGCTCTTCCCTGGGCCTGCTGATGATCTGTCAGCTCTAGCTGAACAATGTGTGAGTTTTATAGTGAAAAAACATGCTTGCAAAGCAAACCTTTTAACTGGAGAAGGTCATCTTCTAGGAGCCAGGCCTTAACAGCAGACACTTTAACCTTTAAAAGGAGAAGAGGTGTCTCTCTTTCTCACCGGTCATGCACTGATTCATAAACAGTTTATTTTAGAGTGTCATTTTGCAAAATTTGCTCACTAAAAACTGTGATGTACAGTATCTATTCTGTACCAGCAGGTCTGAGGAAAAAAAAAAAAACCGCATTCTGATATTGCAAGCACTGAAAAGTTACATTTGTTGTTCAGTCTTAAAACTAGTTAAGAAAACTAGAGTTCATAGTGTCACCAAAATAAATCAGTAACAAATTGCCTAACTCAAAAGAAGTGCTTTTGCTTTTGAGATTGATGTGAAAATGTAAACAGCAGCATCACCGAACAAAATGTTTTAAACCACGTTTTCTGGGGAAATAAGTGTATGTGGGAAGATTTGAAGAAGAGATATAATCCAATATACAATGCAACCTTTTGGGGGATTAAGGTTTTTTTTCTTTTCTTTTTTTTTTAAGTTTTGTCTAATCCAAAATACTTTGAGCCTTATATTTGCAAAGATTAGGACAGCATTATAAACTTGAATAACTTATTTTTCCAGGAATAGCTATTCTCTAGCTTTTGACAGCATACATAAGCATACAAAAATTTAACAGATATCCTTAACATTAATCACAACATCTTCAATCTGCACATCTGGTATTGGTTATATGCAGAAAAATTCTGTACCCTCCGTACTACATCTGTGGAAAATCTGATTCAAGAGAAAACATAATCACTGTAAGTATACTGATAGCTGGAAATGTCAAATCCATTACTCGTCTAAATTATAAATCATCTTCCTGTTTCACTGTCTAATATAGTAACGTTTTTTCAGCAAATAGAGGCAGGAGAACTAGGCCTTACCTAATGCTATGTTATTTATACAGGTTAATGCATGCTATTTAGAGATGATCTGAAAAGTATTGGGGAAGAGGGGAGGAAGGAAATTATTAACTGACAGGTCCCTAACCGCTCCTGGCATCGCAGCTTTCACCGCTGCGCTCCCCAGCCGCCACGTAAGGTTTTGCATTGGCCAGGCAGAGCAGCAGCTCCAGCAGAGCTGGGTAGAGCTGGGAATAAGGCCTGACCATGGCTGTCTACAGCTGCACTTCCCCATCGGCTTGGTATAATCCAGCACTGGAGCTCGCCTAGTTTGTAAACAACCATATGGGCAGGGAGGGGGGAGGGAAAAAAGGACAAATTATTAGTTTTCAGCCTGCTCCGCTTCCTGAACTGGCTTATCTCGAGTGCAGGGGTCACTACAAGGAAGGACAAGAGAAAAGTGCAAACATGCAGGTAGAGGAGCAATGGGAAGATCTACCAAGCAAGATCACAGCAGCCTCGAACTTTACCTGCAATAAAAACCATAACCTAAAGCCATGAGAGGCTCTGCGGGTAGGCTTATTCAGCTGGGAGAGCAGGACGGAGATGCTGCTGCTTTGTGGCCGAGACAGAGGCTCAAAAGTCTTGCCACAGGAACCATGAGGACCAAGGCTGCCCTCAGAATAGCGACCAGACTACAGGAGGCTCAGAAACAGCTCTCTGGAGAGCGGCAAACCTCGAGGTGTTTTCTATATAACAGTGCTGGTAGGGAAAAATGCTTCCCATCTCACATCTACCTGTCTGATGGCCTAAGGGGACACTCTGGCAGGTTGTGAGGACAGTGGGTTTGGGAGCCAAACTTGTGTTCTCATGCTCTGCAGGAGCAATGCCACAGCTCAGCTGCTGTAGCAGCAGCGGGCACTAAGACAGCGCTTGCACAAAGTCTGGTCCTTTCTTGCTTTTCTGAAAGTTTTACCACTCATTCTCAATACCTGTGCCGACAGCAGAGGGTGCAGATGTAGCTGGGCAACCCACGCTGCTTTTAAAGTCAGCACTTCAGCTGATTCATTATGGTCTCATTGGCCTTAATCTCTGTGCTTCAGCATCCTCATCAATAATGTACAGAAAATAAATTCCTTCTGTACCCCGGGCACGTGTTCAGGATGAATTAAGGCTTGTTAACATCATCAGACAAGTGGCGGCAGGGGGGCTGGACTAAAACGAATGTGTTCCCTGAATGCTAATTCTGTCTTTTTATTCCTTCTTAAATGCACGTAATTTAGTGCCTTCTAGCATAAGCCAAAATTTAGAAGTCCCTGGAATCTGTTACTGAGGGTAGAAATATTCACTGAGCACCTATAAATGTGATGCAACTCACAAATACAAAAAGGAAAAAAGAAAAGTCCTTTTCGTATCAGGACTTGATACAAAATCCATTCTTGGAAACAGCCTTCTCAGTTCTAATCATTTAACAAGTATTTTATGGTAACTTCTCCGGACGGGCTCTCTAAGTTAGATGACAATATTACGTGCAGACAGTGGTTTGGACAAAGTCCAAAAATAGCATTACTTGGTTAGGAAACCGTGTTATATGAGAGAGCGATACGGGGAATGTAATCCCATATATTTTTGCTTTTGTCATGACTAAAACATGCTCCATGCAATCTGTATCAACAGCTGTATTTCAGCTTGGATTGGGTTTACTTTATTAAGGTCCCCTATTACAATTTCCAAAATAAGAATTATAAACAGTTTTTTTTTTCCCCAAGAAGTACAATTTGATAGTCACAGGGATGCTCCCATTTCATATACTGCACGAGCAGCCTGTGATTTACAAAGAGGCATCCTGCAGCGAGGAACATGACTTGCTGTTTGCGTAGTACTGCACACGCTGTCCCCACCCAATAGATAATTAGCAGTAATGAAGGAGCAGTGTTAAAGCATTGCTTCACCCCCTTCTCCTGCTCATGCAGTGCAGAAAAGGAAAGACCAGATACAGATTTAGCAGGGGCAAGGACATGTCCTCTCCGCTGGCCCGTACAACTCGCACTCCACCGACAGAGCCCGTGATCCTGACTGCTGCTCCTCTCCTGCCCCATCCCTCCCACAGCTGGGAGCTATGTCTGCACAGGAGTCCGCTCTGTCAGCTGAATTGGACCACTTTTGGTTTATGTGAAAGACAAAGGCCATTTTAATGGGAAGCCTGGGAGTTCTGCGCTCGGCAGCAGAAATTGCAGTGGAAATTTGATACAACAAAATGGTTAAATATTTTTCCAGCATAATTATCTGGAATTGCTCTGCAGATCCCTCCTTCTCCCTTCTCTCCACAACACCTTTCATGTTTGTTGCTGCTCCTATGTTGCAGAACCAAGGGTAAATAGGGAATGCTGAAACTTGGCTTCCTCTTTAAGTGCTATCACAGTGAGTGGAAAGGAACATGTACCTTGCAACTTCTCTTTAACCAGAACTCATACCAGTTGCCAAAATGAGTAAAACCATGCATCAGATACGGCTGCCATAGTCCTCCCCACCACCCCATTTTTCTGACATGACCCACTTTTGATGTAGCACAGTTTCAAGGTAACAAGCAGGATGCAAAAGGAAAGACAAGACCTTAAGTTCATCAGTTTATTTGCTCTAAATCCCTGACTCAAAGACTGTAGTTTAAGCAGAGATTTGATGCTACGGGTCGGAGCATGCAGGTAACACTGGCAAGCATGCTTGTAGGGCTGAGGCATGAGCAAATTGGGCAACCTAGCCGGAAGTTGACATTTTGAGGTAGCAATCACATTAGGAAGCGCAAATCCCAGAAGAGGTGACAGCCTTAAACCTGACCCCAGTGTTCACGCTTATGCAGGCAGGCCAATGCCAAACGGGTGCACACGAGGCCACAGCAGCGCAGCTGCTCTCTGTGGCATCAATGAATTCCCAGCTAGCCTTATTTTCTCATTCAAAGAGAACAGAAATATTTTCCTTTTCCCAATGACACTACTCGTGCAGCCCCTTTTCTGATGCTCCCCTTGGTCAATAGTGTTGTCCTTTCTGGTACAGGAAAAATCACAGCTCTGAAATGTTCATGTGCCACAGAAAGACTTTCTTTGTGCCTGAGAGGTTGCCTCTGCTAGGGCTATCATGACAGCATCTTTACAATCCTAGGTGGAAAATCTGATGCAGCCCACCATCTGGCAGGATAGTTACTGCCACGCTAGCTGGAAGCCAGATACAGGCCATAAGTCATCACTTCAGCAAACTTGCCTAGAAATCTCCTTCCATGTCCTCATTGGAGGCCTAGGAACCTAGACAGACATCCCCAAGGCCAGCGGCCTAATGAGGTTTACAGCTCTTGTGGCTGCAGGTCTGTGGCCCCTTTCTAGTGTTTGGTACGTGTTTGTGATCTGCTCATGGAGCATCAAAAAAAAAAAAAAAAAAAAAAAAAAAAAAAAAAAAAAAAAAAAAAAAAAAAAAAAAAAAAAAAAAAAAAAAGCACAATTTTGTGCTTGCATTCAAAACCAGAGCCAATAGCGGGTAGCAGCACCATGTGCTGAGCAACATGGAGGAACACAGATTCGGAGACAGATTTCCCTCTATATTGTGGTGCATTTATGAACTCAAAGCTCTTCTCTTCTCTCCTTTAGTGCCAGCTCGGAAAAAGGCTCCTTCTACCCTGGGTCCCTGTCTACTTGCTGCAAATAGTCCAAGCAATCCAAGGATTCATGGTGGAGTCCAGTCTTTTACCAGCAGGACATGTAGGAAGCAGAAGGTCTCCAGTTACACAGAGATTTGGATTCAACAAAACCCATGCCATGATGCTAAAGATACAAGCCCTGAACTGCAACATGTATGCACAAACATGGCCCAGAGTTAATGCTGCTTGTGCACTGGAAGCACTGAGGAGAAAATTCTTTTAATTAAGTTTTTAGCATGTGTTGTTGTAGCTCTAAACTTCCCTAATTGAGTAATTTTCTCTAGTCATTTCTAGCTGGATGAAAATTCATCCCTGATCTCATAACTGAAAAGCAGAAGAGGAAGGGTAGCTACGTATGTTTTTATTGCATTACAAAACTTATCAAGAACAGCTAGAGAATGGCCAAGATGTCATTTAAAATTAACATTTTATGTGGTTAATCCAATATATGGAATTGCAAAATCTAAGCAAAACAATGTCTGTGTAAATAAAGCAGCTCAGCAATTTACGAAGCACTTGAAAGCTTTTGGTGCTTTAACATGTTGAAAGCAGGTCAAAACTTATTAGCCTTTTTTTTTTTTTTTGTAATCATCCTTTCTCTCTTAAATACACCATCTGTCCCTTGGATAGGCAGATGGCCTGTTACTTTAGACACAAGTTAAAGCTCTATCATTAGGATGTGTAAGTCCCCTAAATGAGACACTTCTTCCTTTCTCAGCATCATATAGATGGCTTGATTAAAAGATTCCAGCAATTTGCTAAAGAAAATCGGCAAAATACACTGAGTAGCTAAAGCACAACATTATATTTACACCTAACCACTGACCATTATAATGAAATATCACATGAGACTTTTAAGAAGTTACTTGTGTAATTTATACATCACATCTGTGATAAAATCCTTTATAGAAATTGTAGTTAGTATGTGGTTTTAGAAGCGTCCTATTTTTCTTGAATTGGTTTGGACACCCTCTTAGATGCCCTCATATAAAGTATTTTGCCTCAGTAACATGATTTGTTAGGTGAAAAAAAAAGGAAGCAGCCATTCTCTGAAAAAAAAAGAAAAAAAAAAAAAAGAATGAGCCTTCCCTCTAGTCCCCTAAAGAAGTAGGACAAAAGAGGAAAAGCTAGAAAGCTCGAACTCACTTTGATAAAATAAATGAATGCAGAAATAGATGAGAGATGGATAGAAAGAGATGGGAAGCAATCCAAAGACCCAAGAGGAGGCAAACAAAAGCAAGTGGCGAAGAATAAGTGCACATGGAGGCAGAAGAGATCATTTTTCTTTATGTAATCCTTTTGAGTGCCATGGTTAGCGGATGTGAGTGGGTTTCTGATGCCAGACAAGTGTTGGCCTCTCCACAGCCGGCCAAACAGCACCTCTTCCTCCAGCAGCTCTTGCGCTTCCAGACCAGGGCTTTGCGAGGCAGTGTCCCTTTGTATTTTAGGATAAAAGCTGCCCAACAGCTCCTCCAGAAACCCAAAGCAACCCTTCAGAAGGCATAGGTTTACGCTAAGCACTTTATTTTGAGATGCTAACACGCTTCAGATTGGCTGGGGGAAAGGGTTGGGTTTGGGTTTTTTTTTCCTTTTCCCCCATGCTCTGCAGCTGCATGCAAGGCTTTTTTATACCCAGCTTGACCCTCATAGGCACCTACTACATGAATCACTGTTAATAACTCATCTGAGAGGTTTTGTGTGTGGAAGGGTGATCCCAGCACCAGAGACCAAGGGAGCTCAGAAGCACCTTGTATTCCTCTTTCTACGAAAGCTGCTGCCTTGCCTTTACATCATGGTACTGTTAGGGACATCCTGAGGCAGCAGTCAGTATCACCGGCACTGAGCGCAGGCTTACATGGCATGTGGCCGACAGTTGCCCCGCATCCTGCAAAGCCCAGCCTACACCAGGCTGGAGCTGCGAAGGCAGGCAGTGAAATAAAAGGTCATAAAACTTTTTCCATTACTGTGGAAGAGTCTGAAAGCAGCGTTATTTAACATAACTGGCTGCTCTTAACAAAAGGCACATTGTTTGTCTGGATGATTTCTTCTAGCAAAAGCATGTGTGCGAATGTGAGAAACTCACATTTACAGTCTGGCAAAGCCAGTGAATGTCAAAGTTTAGTCATTTTTCCTCAAAACAGGAATCCAAGATCTGATGGGTTTAAAAAAATAAATAAATTAAGGCCTTTTGAATTGCTCAAGTTTCACACTCCATTGGAAACTAAATGAATGTCTGTCACCCAGCCTGTAAATTTTTCTTAGCCATTGGAGAGTTGGATGAAACCGGACCCCCATTAGAAGGGGCCTGAGCCTCCACTTCCCTTGAAGCTGCGATGCCTGTTCCTGCCATATTTCCACCTAACGAACTTGCTGAATCACCCCAGGTCCTGAACTAATGATGTAGCTACTAATATTGTCTTCCTCTACTTCGGGTATGGCTAATGTCATATATTATTTCTTCCAGTTTCTCAGTTACTACTTGAATAGGATCCAGCCAATTTACCAGCAAACTACCAGACGTTTGGCATTTTTCCTGCTGTAGCCTGATGCGGGGTTTTCTTCAGAGGGTATTAAAGTGTTACGGTACAGGGTTAGACAAGGTCAAGATAGGTATCAAGATTCTTGCAACAAAACTGTGATGAAGACAGTTTTAATTTAACAAGGCAACAGAAATAGGAATCGATAATGAGGAGTAGAAATAAAATTGAGTGTGGTATGCCAGACCTCTATAGATTAAAAGGGATAGCATACTCAAAACCTATTTGCAGCTGCTCTGAGCCCAGTTCAACAGTCACCAGCTATTTCCTGGTGTTTACTTTCTCTGATAAACACCGGCACAAGAAATAAAGTGCTCCTACCACTCCCACACAGTGCCTCAGCCCTGTATTTTTCCTAAAAGCAAATCACAGTATTTTTAGGATCTCTCAATAACTGTCTCCCAATGTCTTTGTATTTATCATTGAGACTTGGCTAACACTAAGAGGCAGCAGGGTGAAGCAAATTCTTCAGGAGGCAAAGACAGTTAAACTTTACCCATCGGTGTAAAATTGACTAGTAGTTAATTGTAGTTGGTTTTTGAAAATTATTTATTTTCAGTCCAGATGCTGTGTTTTTTTGTAAAGTTACAGCTGCTCATCAAGTTTAACTGTTTTTTTTTTTTTTCTGGAAAGCTAGTCATTTTATTACTAGCATTAACACTTTATTCAATCTCTTGGTGATTGCCATAAAGCATGCAAAGAGATTTGTGATGATCAATTGCTTATGGAGAAAACTTAGAGCAAAGATGCATTCTACCATCAAATGAATACTTCTGTAGCCAGATGCAATGCTACCTACCTGCCATTTTTGGTGCAACCTAATAGCAAAGTGCCTATGCATCTAGGCTGCTGGGCTGTATTTATATAAGGCATGTGCATTAAAAATATGAGGAGAGATGCTAACGGGATGTTTTCCCTCTCCTGCTGGGCTGGGGCCAAAGATGCTGGCTCCCATCACCCTGGGGGCCACCAGCGCTGAAGGGTGACAGGACCACAGTGCTCCGGGATGGACCTGAGGGCATCAGCTCCAGCCCCAGCGTGCGAATAAGCAGGGGGAACCTAAGGACAGAGACAAATAAGAAGCTCAGCAAGGTGTGTAAGCGCTCATCCAAGGTCCAGCTGGCCACCCAGCAAGGTGCCAGCACACATTAACTTGTCCCTGGGGCTGCCCGGCTTAGCTTCCCACAGCCAGTGGCCAATTCATTTTTAATGCATTCCCCCCATCTTTTTAGCAAGACTCTGCAAGAACGATTAAAATCAATAAATTTCTCTCAAACTCTTCCAAACACAAGGACAGAGTTTGACATTAAACCCCAACAAGCTACTATTTGCAAGGAGCTACCACGCTGTGCTCTCATATTCACCAGCTGGGTGATTATGGCAAAAACAAACTCCTTCCCTCCCTCTCCTATTTAAATAACTGCAAGAATAGGGCATATTAGAAAAATACACCAAAGGCCCTGTGCCTTGGAGATAACCCCACCCTCCTCTTGATGCAGGCCAGTGACTGCAGCCTTTTTGCTGCCGAGTGGTTAAACGGTTCGGCAGGCAGGCACCCTTCTTTTCTCTGCAGGAGCACCAGCGTGGCCTACCCCGTGGGTCTCCTCTTCTCACAGGAATCTCACACTGCTCAAATTCAGGAAAAAAGGCCCCAAAACTCGTGCTGGGGGAAGGCTGGTGGCCAGGAACAGAGCAGGCTTAGGGGAACCCCCTAAGCCTGGTTCCTGCAGGAACCTGCAATTCCTGAATATGTGACACGAATGGAGGCAATTCTCTTGCAAGTGAGTAATCTGTGTCCATTTTTCTAGTATTTCCTAAGCCCTAGGAGTCCAGGAAATCCCAGTCACTAACCAATCTCTCATTATCTTAAAACCAAAAATCCTGTTAATGGCTTTACCTCATACTCTACAGTTCTGGAAACCTGCCCAGCTCCTTCTTGAGTTACTTACTTCAGCTGATGACTTTGGCAGTTTTTTTCCAGATCTTCACTACTGTTCCTTGAGGAAACTGTACCTGAACCTCATATGTTGTGGCTAGATCTGTTCTGAAGCTTGGCTCCATGGTTCATTGTTCTTGTTAATAGACTAAAAACTGTAGAAAAGTGAACAATTAAAACAGTGAGCTGCACAGAGGCCAGCAAGCGCCTAAAATGGATTAACTTCTTCACCATGTGTTCATTAGTTAAGAAAATATTTTTGAGCATATCCATATAGTAAAAACACTGAAAGCACTTAAATCCAATTCCTCCAGCCTAGTTTAAAAATTAAGTTTTATTTCGGCAAGTGTCCCATTGCAACACCTGAAATGCCTTTCCCCAAGCTGAGTGACAGAGGATGTCAGCAGAGCCTAGCTCTGCTCACCATATACCATACTGTGCCAAACAGCCCATGTACATCTCTCTAAAACAAGCTGTTACATTTACATGTTATAATTATCTTACCTTTGATAGAACACAGCTTCTTTTTTCACAATGTGCACAGTGGCAGTTTTGACCGGCATGGTCCCTGGCTGGGACAAGAGCTGCCCTTTCCAGGCCATGTGTCGCAGGAGCGTGGGAACACAGGACTGGAGGTAGGTCCCCATGCACACACCTTGGGGGCCAGCACCAGGCACAGCCCCCCTCTAGCTAGTCCTTTAATAAAGTTTAATAAAGTTCTCATTTAGGAGCACAAGAAGCTTTTGCGCAATTGTCCAGCATGTGGTATGCAAGACAAAAGACTTCAGAGCTGGCACCTTAGCCTTTATTAAGTTAAGGGTTAGTTTGGGCTCTTTTGAAATTCAGAGGATTTTACAGACCTTCTTCATTTCAAACAGTAAGAGCTTTTATAAAACCAGAGTGGCCTCCCAGCCAGCCTGCTGGCTTGCACAAAACCAATGGATAATTTATAATCAACACCCAGCAAGACCTCTTTGCTTAAACAGAAACTTGATGGCTGGACCGGGGGTAGAAGGGACAGACCAGGAATGAAAGATCAAAAAGCCAACCAGGGTCTGTGCAAGCCATAGGAGCATGCTGAAGGAAAGCCACAGCACAGTGGGATTCAGGGAAGCGCAGGCAGTGAGAAAGGTGCTCCAAGCCTCCAGCCAGGACGTTGGCCATCCAGAAAGCAAAAAGAGAGGTAGGCTGGGGTGTCAACTCCCAAAAGATGTACATTTGCACCCAATAAAACATGATGAGGTTCTCCGGTTGCCTCCCATGTGTGTTTGGGCTCAGTTTCACCATCCTTCCTTAGGTGATGCATTTGGGATGCTACGTCTGATGAACCATATCCTTGTTCCTGATGTAGGCATAACCACGAATGAGTTTCAGCTAGGCTCAGCACTAATCGCACTTGCTTCCTCAGCTGCATTTGGAGCCAAAGAGCTCAAAAATCAAAGTGCTGTTTTCAGCATAGTGACCTACGGCTTGTCCTGATGCCTCTCTCGCAGCCGTCCCTTGCAGCGGTGTAACGGCAGGGGAATGACACACAGACAGATGCCCCAGCTGCTGCCATCCCTGATACTAAACCATGGTGACAGGGGCCGTTAGAGACCAAGCT